CAAAGCAATTGATGATTGAGCATATAAACTCGATTCCCTAAAATTCTCCTTCAGTAGTTGTTTTGTTGTGCATTGGAAAAGATGCACTTTCCTTTTTCATTCCTGTTCACTATTTCCTTTTCTCCTTCTCATACTTATTGAAGGGTTTAAGTAGTTTCTAACAGCATAGACTCAGTAGTTGTGCCATACACTTTTATCCATTGAATTTCATAGTAGACATCGCTTAAAGGGGACAAACATTATTTTCAAGCACAGATGTCTGCCAGAGTTTTGATTTAAAACTCTGTGGGACTGATTAGTTATTATCTACCTTCAAAAATCACCAGAAATTATTTCTACAGTTGTTACTATATTTTTTTTTTCCCATAGAAAGTGTAGTGCAACTTCAAAGTCTGAAACTGTAGAAAAATATCACTAGAAAATGTTACTGCTACAACTCAGTCAATTCAAGTTAAGACCTTTTCATCTGATGTTGTTGTAGAGACCTCTTTTTTTTCCATTTCACAGAATCACAGAATCATTAAAGACCTTTAAGATCATCAAGTCCAACCATCAACCCAATACCACCATGGCCCCTAAACCATGTCCCAAAGTGCCACGTCTATATGTTTTTTGAATACTTCCAGTGATGGTGACTCCACCACCTCCCTGGGCAGCCTGTTCTGATGCTTGACCATTTTCTCAGTAAAGAAATCTTTCCTAATATTTAATCTAAACCTCCCCTGGCACAACTTGAGGCCATTTCCTCTTGTCCTAGTGTTTGTTACTTGGGAGAACCGAGACCAACCACAACCTCACCACAACCCCCTTCCAGGTAGCTGTAGAGAGCGATAAGGTCTCCCCTCAGCCTCCTCCAGACTCACTCCTTTTGGCATGTTACTGCCATGACTGTCCCAGTGGCACACAGCACCTGGATGATCTCCACCCAAATTAGATGCTCTTTCTACCTACACATTGCCTTCTTACTTTTCATTCTGGGCAACAGTTTCTGTCCCTGCTTCCTGTGCAGGGTCCTGCATTTTGAAATGGAGTTGGAGTAGTGACCAAATTAAGAGAGGAAGTGCTTTTCAGCATTGATTTACTAAAGATTTCCTGAGCTGTAGATAGCATTTGGAGTCTTATAAATGCCTTTTGCTGCTTGTTTCAATTTTCAGTTCTTCCCAAAATCAGTGAAGTTCTTGGGATGATTATCTGTTGGTTCTTGGACACAAGCACTATCATTTAGGGATTTTTTTTTTTTTTTAAGCTGGTGGTATCTTGTAATATGCACACCAAGCCTGCCTTGTGGTGCAAACACCAGCAGTGTGGTGTTCTCCATTTCTTTCAGTCACTTGGCTGAGCCAGTTTTAGCAGCTTTCTTCTTACCTTTTGTCTTTCCAAAGGTCTTCCTAGCTTTGTAAATTAAGAGCTTCAGTGTGCAATTTCTGTACTGATACTGGCCTGGGGTCTGCCACTTTGCAGTCCCAGGTTTGACCGACTTTTGGTCTATAGCTGTCACCTCTGCAACTGATTTCAGAGACTTTTTTTTCCTGTGTCCCATACTAGCAAACAGGTACAGCTGACTTGTGTCAAACAAGTAGCATCTTTGTTATCACAGGAACACATTTCTTCATGGAATTCAATTTCATAGAATCCTAGAATAGTTTAGGATGGAAGGGACCTTTAAAGGTCATCTAGTCCAACCCTCCTGCAATGAGCAGGGACATCTTCAACTAGACCAGGTTGCTTAGAGCCCTGTCCAGCCTGAGTGTTGCCAGGGATGGGGCACCCGCCACCTCTCTGGGCAACCTGTGCCAGGGTTTCACCACCCTCAGTGTGCAGAATTTCTTCTTTATACCTAGTCTAAATCTGCCCTCTTTTTGTTAAAACCATTACCCCTTGTCCTGTTGCTACAGGCCCTGCTAAAAAGTCTGTCCTCATCTTTCTTATAAGACCCCTTTAAGTACTGGAAGGCTGCAATCAGGTCTCCCTGGAGCCTTCTCTTTTCCAGGCTCAACCCCAACTCTCTCAGCCTGTCTTCATAGGAGAGATGTTCCATTCCTCTGACCACCTTCATGGCCCTCCTGGACTTGCTCCCAACAGGTCCATGTGTTTCCTGTGCTGAAGGCTCCAGAGCTGGATGCAGGACTCCAAGTGGGGTCTCACCAGAGCGGAGTAGAGGGGCAGAATCCTCTCCCTCGCCCTGCCGGCCACGCTTCTTTGGATGCAGCCCAGGATACGGTTGGCCTGGGCTGCAAGCGCACATTGCCAGCTCACACCCAGCCTTTCATCCAGCAGTACCCCCAAGATATAGTCACCAATTTCCTAGTATCCAGATGAAGGACAAAAAGAAATGGGCAGAAGCATCTTCAGGATGCAACTCTGCAAAGGGATTTTTTACCCCTGTGACAGGAGTGATGAATGTTCTTCCTTTTTCCAGGGCTATGCAGAATTGTGAGTACTAAGTACCATTGTCTCATTTGGAGGCCTTCTGTGACACCTTCCCTTCCTCCATAGGGCCAGGTAATTGCAACTCAGACTCTTTGCTTTTGCAGGATCCACCCTGAGGGTCTATGTGCCTCTTTCACTTCTTTCTCTCTAGCCAGCAGCATATCCTACAAACATGACTTATGACAGGTGGCAACTTTGGATTCTGTCTTACTTGTTCTCACTCAGTTCAACCCTGCCACCTTTAAAGGGAGTCTCAAATGACCTTAGGAAAAGGAAAGCATAAATCCAGGCTTCTGACCTTTTTGGCACTTGACCAGCAGTGTCCACAAAGGCACCAGTTAAGAAGACCTCATGGAAGAAAAAGTAAAATGTGCCTTGGAACTTCTGTCATCCTACCAGCTAACTTCTTCAACAGGCTTGCATAAGCTGAGGCCTCCTGTTGCTTTTTTTTTTCCTGCGCTGGCCAGTTTCCTTCTGGCTGCTCCTTACTCCCAGGAAATCTCTTTGCCTTATCTTACTCCCATGTAGCATAGACCTGGAGCAGAATGAGTCCTCTGCCTGTTGCTGTTTCTCTAGACTATGGTCCTTCTTCAGGAAACAACCACCATTGCAAGGTAGGCATCGACAGCCTGTGGAGCAGTATCACTTTAAACACTTGCCATCCGTCAGCATTAATACAGCTACACCACAAGCTTTGGCACTGAGGCAAGAGTTTTGAGGCTGTACCAGAGCCCTCTGAACCAATTTCACATTTCCTTAAAAAGCCACTGATGAAAATCCAGACTAGAACATGCTTTGGTGGATAAACAGTCTACTTTCCAGCCAGTTTCATGGTCTGCGATGTATCATCTGCTTTTACATGTCAGAAGCATCTGTTTTCTGAGACAAGAATCATTCCAGCCCAGAGACACTGGTGATTTTCTGCAGCAGTAAGGTTCCTTTAGAAAGTGCTGGAGCCAGTGGTTTTACACCAAAGACAGTGAAGTATAATGAGGTTGGCTGGAAAAAGAGACATCCTTTACAGGAGACAGCTTGGAAAATTTCTTGGGTTCTAGCTTTTTTAGTTTGGTGCCTTGGACCTATGAATGATTCTCAGAGTGCTTCCCAGAATTATTGCATTTCATTTGGGTGGATGTGTGATCCAAAGGGACAGATTCCTTAGTGGGAAGGGAATGGCGAAGCTCTGTTGGGTGGGGTCTTTTAATGGAGCAGCTTTTTTGAGCCCAAAAATGCATGTCTCTCACTGTTTCTGAAGACAAAAAACACATAATGATCATCTCAGCCTTCTGGGGAGGGACAGTTCAAGCAGTAACTGTGGGAAGTCCTTCTCCCTTATCTCCTTAAAGATAAGTTAATTTTCACAGTTCATCTGAGGCTGTTGGGTGAGGTTGTCTCTGACATTGGTCATTATCCCTGCTCTCCCACCTCACCCAGAAACACACCATTGCCCTTTGGGTGATGATGCCCCCAGTGCTTTGGGAGAGCTCCTTGCTTCTGTGTGCTTATGCCATGATGGAGACCACTGGTCTCTACCCAGATATTTCACACCAGAAGAGCTTAGAAACTGCTGCTGAGCTCTTAGTAAGGGTCTGTTCGATTATCACTTGACAACTAGTAGCAGCTTTACTGCATGACAGATGCTTAGCTGATAAACACACAGTTGCCACTTGGCTGTCTTCACCCTGAGACCAGGTACCAAACACTTAGGAATAACATGGTAACACTGATTTCTGTCTATGGCCCCAAGCACTCTCTGCATCAGCTCCTAGAATGCTGCTCGCTGGCACTGACAGCATTGGTTTATGTCCAGGCACACTCAACAATGACACCTAACCTGCCCATGCATGTATGCAGTTAGGAGATTAGAAACAAAAGGGTGCACCTGTGGACTGCCTGCATACATTGAGCTGGGGATGGGACAAGTTTTAGGAATAAATTAGTATTTCTACCATTTGAGAAGAAGTCCTTGGATAAAAGCTAAAAGCTCTTGCCTCTAGGTACCTTTGTACACATACCCTGAGGAGTAACAGTTACAGGTAAGTAATAGTGCTGCTTGAGTATTTTATTTGCTGGTGTAAGATTTTCTTAGAGTAGTCAGCTTAACTTCTCTTCGCTTCTTCCAAGTTACTGCAGGAGATGGTGTGCAGCAGGAACTTTCCACCAAGTCCCTCTCCATCTGTAAATGGCAAGATAGAGGGTGAGGTGGCGAGAATGTTTGACAGTTCGAGGCCACTTCAGCAGAAAAAGGAAGAGAAGACTATTGCTGTTAAATGACCCCACCAAGCAGAGGGAGGTGTAATATTCAGAACAGTTAGTTAGAGTTTATTTTTCTAGGGAAGTCATTGAGGAAGATGCAGTACTGGACAGAGGTGTGAAGAAACGGTATTTGAAGATGTCCCGAGGATACCCTGAAAGGAGTAGGTAGCTAGAAAATAAAAAGGCAAGGAAAAAAAGGCCATCGCTGTTAAGTGAGAGGGACCCCTGAACCGTAGAAAACTAGAATACAGAAATAAAACCACCACCCCCTTAAAAACGCTGTACAAAAGTGAAGTAGACTACAAAAGTTGATATAATATTTTTACTTAATTTTAAGTTCTGTATTAAAAATTAATACATTAAACTCTTATAAAAGTAAGGCACATGCAAAACATGTTGTGCAACTTCTGACTTTCAACTCTTATAAACTAACAAGCATTATTTTAATTTGGCATTTCTAAAGAGCCATTTTTCCCCATGCAAGATATGTGGAAGGTTAAGTTTGACATTGCACCAGTTAAATCTAGATTCTGTGCTTTCTGTACTAGAGTAAGCAGAGATGGTCATACAAAATAAAAACCAACTCAAGTACAGATGCTGAAGGTGATGACCAACATACAAAATTTAAGAATGTGACATTATATCCATTATAATACATCAATAATCTTGTTCAGTACAGGATGATTTGGCAACTCCAGTTCCTGTAATGCCAGTGTGCAATTCCTAGTTGTCAGTGTCATACGATGCTGAAGACCATGGAAAGATACTGCTCGTAGGACACCTGAATCCAGCCATCTTGATCGGTATCATAACGTCGGAAGACATCAGTCAACCTCTGGAAAGGGAGGAAAAAAACCCCATACGTTTTTGTACTTCGGGAAGATTCAGACTGCCATGTGTTCCCCTTGCCCCCTAGGTTTCTGTAGCTTTATGAACACTTTCTGTTCATCCCCTCTGTAGACGCTTTACAATCTCTATATGCATGAGGTAGCTTTTTGCCATATCTCATGCTTGAGCTGCGTAGCAGGTCTGATTCTAAAACCACCTTATGATACAATACCTAAGGCTATCCAGGCACTTCTTTATAGACCAGACAGTTTTTAGTAACTGGCTTTAAAGGAGGGGCGGGGGGGAGTGGGACAGGACACAACGGACAATGCACAATTCTCATGAGACATTTGAGAGAGTCATCTGGAGACAGAATCCAAGCATTTCTCATCTTCTAGCCCAACGTGCTTTTATGTATCAGTAGTATCTGAGCTGTCTGTAAAAGCCCTGAGGTGCCAGGCAGCACAGAGAGAGAGGGGACCAAAATAACTACCAGCACAGTTTCACTAACACTGGCTGAATGACGGTCAACTTCAAAGCCCCCTTTACCAGAGTTTAAGTTTGGAACCAAGTATAATCAGCTTCTATTACACATGACCATAAAAGCACCTGATGTTTCAGCAGACTTACAGCTAGAGACATAAAGGAGAAGAACAAAAGAGATGTATGCAAGTAACAGAGATAGATACTACTTATACTGGGCACTCCTTTCTCTTCATGTTGTGTATCAGAAGATGTCTTAAGGCACTGTTGCAATGCTGGCCAGTGACAGAAGAGAAACCCTCTTCCTGTCCTACTAAAACTCAGCTTGTCCACTGCTACGGTTTCTCAACTTTTCCCTAAAGTCTGACACACATTTCAGAAAAGTCAGAGACACTCAGAGAACCCTTAAGCGCTGAGGTGAGGAATCATCCAGTGATTTCTAAACAAAGGAATACGCCGGTAGAAGTACAGTTCTCTCTACGTGTATACACATATTCACACATGCATTTCTGTTACAGAAAGGATTTTTTTCATTTTGTGGTTTTGTTTTTTCATTTGTTTGTTTGTTTTAAAAATCTTTTAAACTAAAATCTTTTACTACCATTGCCCCTACAGGAACAGCAGTGACGAAAGACTGAATAGTTCAGCTGCTAGCTCAAATTCCTTTTAGTCAGAGCATTAAACAGAGAGATACACAAAAACCTCACAATTAAGACTGTGACAATTATGGGCACCACAGGACCGGACACACTCCAGTTTTAACACATCCAAGATCCAGAGGAAGTGTATTAAACTAATGGAAATAGTATTAAGTGTTTTCCTTTTAAACACTGTGACCTTTTTACATTTTTTTGCCCCATAAAAATAAATATTTAACAGGTCAAAAAAATTGTGTCAAATTTACTTGGGATGTGAACAGGTAACAGGTAAAGACCAATAAATGACAATGTTTCTAGCACCTTGTGTACACTTTATGCAAATGGTTTATTTATAAGCAAGTTCTAGATCCAGTATTAAAGTGAGAATCATAAAAGCCTAAGAAAAGGTGATTTTTTTTTTAATTGACATTGAAGTACATCTCCTTTCTTACCTGTAAAACAACACAGCACTGAATAAAGTCATCAAAAGCAACTTGTCCTCTTCCTTGTCTGTCAAATTTCCGAATAAGAATATCGTAGAATTGGTCAGACAGTCGGTAACCTTGGAAAAGAGAAATGCTTTAAAAGGTTTTAATTACTGCAGTCCTTCTATAAAAAGAACTAGGCTGTTTAGCAGGCATGTATAGCAAAACTAAAAAACTGTAAGGAGTTACAAGAGACAGGATTTTTCTTTTTGGCAAAATATTTCCACTGCACAACAAAGGTGTTAAACACATGCATTAAAAACCGTGCTTAATAATAATTATAGACAGAGTCACAGTAAACATAATTACTGATTAAACTGACTGGTTGGTTGAGGGGACGGCTTAGGGCTGCAGCTCAAGTTTAGTATAAATGAAATCAATTGAATAGAAGTTCTTTCGCTGTCAGAACGTTACTGTAGCGTAGACAGCTGGCTTCCTTTTACACAGCAGAAAGCTCTTATCAAGTACCTCTGTAAGTTCAGACATTTACCTGAAGTCTGGGTAATGCTCTCGGAGCAGCCCATAGAGCAGACAGAAAACATTCCACACATGTACTGACACATCCAGTTTCCTTCCCCCCCCAAAAGGAAATAGCTTAAGCAGCAGTGCTTGTGGCATGGATATCTTTAAGGGGTACCTTATACCTGAAAGGGTGACTGCGTTTCACCTGTGTCATTTTTAGTCACATTTGTCAGAGCAGTTACAGCCCCAACAATAAGCAGCTCATTTGATGACATAACCCAGTCATAAAAACTGTAATTACAAATGAATTACCAAAACCTGTTAGTGCTTGCTTTAGTTCATTTTTGTCAATCATTCCAGAATTGTCTCTGTCATACGTTCTAAAGACATTCTGCCAGTCTGAGATGTACTTCCAGACTCCTGTGAATTCATTGAAGTTCACACCACCTTTGTTTTCTCTGTCAAACATGCCTGAAATAAAAAATACGAAACACATATAAAACCTTAATTGTAATACTCCTCAGTAAGATCTACTAATACTTTTAAGAAGGCAGCAAGAGCACTTTGCAGAAAGTACTGAAGACAGAAATTGCTAAAATGCAGTGGAAAGTTCTGCCAAAAAACCCCAAGCAGTCATCCACTGAAGGAAGAAGAGAGAAACCAAGATAAAATAGGACCAGAATGAATCACGGAATGTTTATTTTTCCTGGATTTTCATTTCCAGTTTGAAAATATTCAGGGCTTGATTGATCATCCTGCGGCAAAAAGGGTGAGGTGGGGGCAGGGTGGGTGTTCTTTTCTAAGGACACAGGGAAAAGTCTATGGACTGCCAGAAGTGCTGGGATACTCAACTGCATTTGGCTCGGCGACACTGCCACCTATACAAACAGCATGTCGCACAGCAACAGGACTCAGACTGCTGCTGAATACTTATTAAAAACAATGCAAAAAATTTAGTCCTTGGATTTATGAACTGTATGATGGAAAAGATTTTTCATGCTCGAGTTTTTATCCTTCTGTTCAACCACCATCACCTGCCACATTTCTGGCAATTGTTTTAGGACACTAAAGAATTCGAACATTGTAAAGCTGCCGTTTGGTCTTTTTTGCGCAGAATGGAGAATTAAAATGCAAGACAGGAAAAACTAGTTACGAAGACAAGCTATGTAATACCTTTCTAGAATATTTAAGCTGATGATTTCCCTACGCAAAAGTTACATTTACTATCTACTCAGTTGTATAGTAACATTTTCTCAGACTACTTCGACAACTGCACGTGTGTGCACACAAAGGGC